CCCCAAAACCCCAAAACCCCAAGAGTGGAATAATGAAGTATTTAGTTATGAAATTAATATTATCAAAATTATAATAATAAATTTTATCAAGGCTACAGTTGAAAGCTTTTTGTAATTTATAATGTTCAATTTAGACTGCTATCTATTGATAGAAATTAATCTTAAGAATTTTAATGGGCAACTTTCACCCAAAATCTCTCTATCTTTTAATTTTGAACTTCTGGTATCTTTTATGTGTTGATGAGTTCATTTTTAGCCCCTTAATTCTTGTCTTCATCAAATATGAAATTATTGTTTCCAAATTCATCCTCGCTATCATCAGTCTTAATTGCAGATTAAACTTCAAATTCTTGCTCCTCTTATTGTTAAATATTTTGCACAGTGATTTCTTCATTTTTCATTTCTCCCATTATTTACTAGTATAGTTCAGAGGTATTTGCTCTTTATATATTTGATGTCTTCTATAAGTTTATTCTTTGCATTTCTTCATCACTGTTATCTTCTTTTTCATAATCTTCATCTTAGAATGTATCAATCTACAGGTGGGATGGCTTTACTTCTTCCTATTTACCTTGGACTCTGCTTCTTTTAGGGGATTCTATCGATTGTAATTATATATCTTATATCTGATTTTACTACTGATATTGAATTACTCTTTCTCCAGAGTTTTATGCTAAATAACTATTTTCTTTATCATTAAGCATTGTTGAATAATTAAAAGATCTTTAAAATCCTTATCCATTGCTTTATTCCAAATTTTATTATGTTTTATACTCTTCTTCATCACTTGAATCTATACTTGAGTTTGAGTCTATTTCTAGCATTTATTTCATTATTAAAGGTTAAGTTATTGCCTTAAATGATTACTTCTAGTTATTTCTTTATGCTTCAAGTGAATCATTGAAACTTTCTAAATCCTTTAAGTATTGTTAAGGACTGTCATCTAAATCATCTTAGAAATCGTCTTTATCGACAAATACGTTTTGATATCTATTAGAAGAGTTTTTATTTGAACTTCTTTTCTGCTCTGACAATAAATCCAACTATGAATAGAATTGGAAATGAGTTGTTTTCGATGATATTTTCTTGCTCTTTTTATTCTCATGCTAGGTTTCTATAATATCCCCGAGTTTATTATTTGATAGATGCCCAAATGTTAACTCACTTTACTTAAATTTAATTTAGCTGAACTTGCTAAGCTAGTTGTCTCTAGACAGATTTTCTCTTTAATGCTTATTTGATTTTTCTAAATTGTTATATTCTGTATCATAATTCTTGCTCTCTTCTTTAGTGTTAGAATGAATTACATTCAGAATGACTTGATTTTTCTGAGAGGGCATTGAGATTGTTGAACTCTTCAGATACTACTCTATTTCAATGTATTCATCTTCGAACAGCTCTTAATCATCCTCATCAATCTTATCTTCTACTATGATTTTGCTTCTCTTCTGATTACTATCTTAGAAATCCTCCTCCATTATTTCTTCTGAACTTTTTCCTTTGTTGGAAGCAAATGTGGACATTCTTGGATTCATAGTCTTTGTCAGTTACAAACCTATTTCCTTAAGGTTGAAAGATGATTGCTTTTTCTTAGTTACAGATATCGTATTATTTCTCTTTAAATCATCATCTACCTACTAGTTTATCTCCTTATTTGTATCTCCATCTATATCATGTCTGTATTCAAAATCCTATTTTCCTACACTACTAATGTTCTTATTTCTATTTGTAGCAGTTTCCTCATAAGATTTTTCTTCGTCAATGATTTCATCTGGCTACAATTTCTTACGGTTATTATCTATTGTCAATCTCTTCGCGCTGTTGGTACTAAGAATAGTTCTAGGCATGAAATCCTTGACATTATTCGAGAGTGGTGAGTTTGAAGGGCTGCTGCTACTCTAATGAGATAACTGTTTTATACTCATAATTTGTATATCCTTTTAGTTATTTATCTTGGACCGATAAGAACTTTCAATATTTTTCTCAGAATTTGAAGTTATACTACTTACATCCTAGTCATAGTTGAATGATTTTTCCTTCTCTTAACCAGGACTTTCCCCTTGAGATTCCTAATCTTCCTCAATGATCATATTATTATTCATAAAGTGCGAAGGTCTTTATTGGTTTGAAAGAGTTGTTGAACCTCTATGAATATCATCAGCTTATATATTTTTGAGAATTGATAGCTTCTTCATTATTTCAGTTTGATTCTTTTTATAATCACTGGGGCCTAAGTTTGAACCAAGTGTCTTTTAAGAATCTTCATTATTTTCAGCAATACTGTTTCTATTACTGAATTACTTCTTAATAAATGAATCTTAGCTGGTAATATCAGAGATTAAATTTTCTGAGTTTTATTAATTAAGGTTAATGTTGAGGTTCTCCAATAAAGTTGATCTTCTATTACTTAAAGTGTTTTTAATTGAGGATTATTGATTTCTAAATGGGCTTAGGGTATTTTAGGTATCTTATTCTTTCAAAGAACTCTTTTAAGCAATTAGTTATTCAAATACTTTCGCATTTTAAGCCATTGCAATGAAAACACTATTTCTCTTGGTTTTGTCGAAAATTCTCTAAGGGCTCGATAACAGCTTAATCTATTATATTTCCTACTAGGCCTAAATCTTTGCTTATTCTTCACCTTATAACAATCTTTTTTATTTCATTAGATTCGTGAAATTTTATAGTTTCTTCAGTAATACTGGGAAATATATGATGACTCTACTATCATAATAGTGATTATCATACTTGTCTTTGAATCTATTTTTCTTTCTATCCTCAACCCATCTGTACTTTTTATATTCCTCATAAAGCTATATTTTTTTGTTTTTGACTATTTCATAAAAGTTTGATATAAGATGCTCAAACGAATCAAATTCGAGTTAATCTTAATTTTAGAGGTAATTGTTTATCCCCAATGAATTATTACCTCCAGAATGCATTGTATTTGACTTAGAAATCATGAGGCCTTCCGATTTCAGTAAGGCAGCTTTATCAAAGTCTATTTTGAATATAATTTTTACTAAGTGAATAAGAATGTCATAAAAATGATAGTTCTTAAATTTGTTATAAGTTGGAAGTTAAAGTTCGGCAATGAATTTGTCCATTTCTCTTGGGTTATTCAAAAGAAATTCTCCTCCTCTTATAAAATCTGTGTTTTTAACAATTAAATCTGATATGAAATCTCCAATTTATTGTACTTCAATAAATCCAGTACCATCTTAATCAAAAGTTTGCCATATGTTCTTGAACTTAGTTATCATTATATCATCTACCCTCAGATTTTAATCTTCAGTGGTATCCCTAAATCCTTCCAAAATGATAGCAATAAATAGATTGAGAAATACGAAAGTGACAAGCAGTTGATAAGATATAAAGTATATAACCGAACTCCAGTAATCTCCACATCCCACGGGAACTTTATCATTTTTTAAATAATCATCGTATGTTGGATTCTCAATACAATTGTATTCTATGGAATTTTTATCCATCAGCGATTTCATCAATTCATTCCAGTTTTCTCCTGTTGCACATCTGAGCAATGTAAGGAATGAGTTCAAAAAGTTTTAAAAGTTTGCATGATCATTAAGTTCCCCATGTATTCTTACTTCTCCAAATAAATTCATTCCTAACAGAGAGTAGAGATAAATCAAAAGAAATAGTAAGAAGCCGATATTTGCAAGTGATGGTAAAGTTACAATGAGAGTAATGAATATGTTCCTCAAACTCTGAGCTTTTTTAACTAATCTTAATACTCTTCCTAGTCTAAAAATTCTTAAAAAGGTAGCATGAGCGCCTAGATTTTTATCAAATACATTCGTTAAAAATATTTGAATGTAAGTCCCCATCAATATAATCAAATCAAAAATGTTCCATCCATCTTTGAAATAATTTTTGCCAAAAGTGATCAACTTAAAAATCGCCTCAATAGTAAAAATAACTGTGAAGGCATGATTTACAAATTCGAAATCATCTTCTACTTATTGAGGTTGCATATACCAGTTACACGCAAAAACGATGATATTTACCGTTATGATGAAATAAATGAACATTTCGAATTTCTGAGACTTTGTTAATTTAGCTATTATCTTACGAAATCTATTATTTATGGGCTGATCTCGAGGTACTGGTTTATATTTATAGCATTTAATCTAGACTTTAATCCATTCTTTTTGTGTATCTGTCAATATGTAGTTAAGTCCCAATTTTTCTTTCTCAAATTTGAATGTATTTATTACCACTCCAACGAATAGATTCATAATAAACAGAGATCCAATTAGTATAAAGAATATAAAGTAAATGGAGGCAGACGGATTTTTATAAATTTCGTATGTATAGTCGGTATCTGTAGAGTCAATACCATTCCACATTACTGCAACCCAGTTTTCAGTTGTTGCCATTTAAAATAAAGTTAAGACTCCATAAAATACATTATCAAAATTAGATCTATCAACTTTCCATTCTCCTCCCATACTTATACAATGCCACTTGGTATATGAATTGGTTCTATCAAGTTTTTCTTAGAAATTCTCTGGAAGATGGTCAATAAAACAATAGTAGAATTGCCCTTTAAAGAAATTAACACCAAAAATAGCATAGACAGTAAATGAAAATATGGCTATCACGAATACGTTAAAAATATCTTTGATTGAATTGCCAAGGCATAATACTGCAATTTTTAATTCCTCATTCTAAGAAATCATTCTCAATGGTCTTAGGATCCTAAAGACTCTGAGGGATTTTACAATTTTAAGTTCGTTAAGTTGAATCATAGAAACAAAGCTCAATAGAGTGATAATCAGATCAAGAATATTCCAAGGGCTTTATAAATAAGAATTTTTGCCGTTTAATATAAGTCCAAAAGCAACGATCTTCAATATACACTCCAGCATAAACAATGAGGTGAATGTACCATCAAATATCATTAAATTTTAGTTAAAATTACTATCAGGATCTGATAAAGGCTAATCAAGAGCAAGAAGAATGGTTGATGCTACAATTAGCAATGAAGTTATGTTATCAAACTAGCTGTGTCTTACAAGCCTAGATATTAGATTTCTAATAACGTTGTTCTTACTAAGCAAATAAAGAGATCTACCTTCTAAAGTTAATTGAGTTTTAAGCTTTCGATCAGTCAGTGTTTTACTAAACAAAGCTATCTAATGATCATGAGGAACCATACTCAGTCTTCCATTTTATGAATTAGTTAAAACATCATCTAGATTTTTTACAGGACTTTTTTTCTTTAGGTCAAATAAATCATTTGCTTTAGATTTTAAAGATGTAGGACTTTTTTCAATGAAATTATTTAGACTTAAACTTGAATGCTCAAAAAGACCAATTTTATCAGTTTTTTGCAAACTTATACTATTACTTGCTTAATCACCTCTATTTAGAAAGGTCCTTCTTGCTCTAGTACCAGACTTTGATGAGTCATTTAGAAGACTTTTATTAGTTTCATCCAAATTTTGAGAATTATCCTAATTTTGGTGAAGTTTTATTATGAAAGGTCTATTTGAATTAATCTAGCCTTACTCTTCATTATAATTTTGACTCGGAATTCTATTATTTTCATTGCTCATATGGCTATCTACTTTTCTATCAGGATTAGACAGTTATTAAGTAGCATTATGAGATTCTTCTGCTTTTGAATTTGAAGTTTAAGAAAATTCTAAAGATTCATTTGATTATTCAAATTAAGGATTTTCATCCTACTCCATTATTTTCATTGAATTGTCAGCATCTACATTTTGAATTTCGTATTTTTTAGCTTTGCTTCTACAAGTGAAAAGGCATTTTCTATATAGTTCTGTGGTATAATCTTTGACTTATTGCCATAATTATTATTTTTCTTTATATTCTTCTCTCTTTTCATGTTATTACTCGAAATCTTTTAAAAGAATAGCCAAGAATAGATTAAGCAAAATGAGATTCCCAAAAGAAGTTAGAGTTACAAAGAATATTACACTCCATTTAGATGTTGCTCTTGAGTAATCAAACATTACCACGTTCCAATCATCACCTACTAATAGGACAAAAATTGTGATCATTGCATTCCCCCAAGTGTCAAAGTTGAGTCTTTAAGATTTACCTCTCGAAATACATTGTATCTCTTCATCATTGCAATTATCCAAATCTAGAGGATTATTATCATCATCAAATTTCACTCTTTAGGCAAACAGTTCCATACCCAGTAAGGCGTAAGTGAAAATAAAAAGGAAAAGTAAGATTGAGAAGTTGCTAATATCTTTTACTGTTGAGCTTATCCTTTTCATCAGATCTTATAAACTTTTCCATAGTCTAGCAATTTTAAAGATCCTCAGTAATCTACCAGCTCTAAAAGCAATGAGTACAGAGCTATTGTAATCAGTCTATTACTTTAAAGATATATCTAAAATTGAAAGAACAATGATAACACAGTCAAAAGCATTGAATTTATCCCTCAAATATAGAATTGGCCCGAACGCAATAAGTTTTATAATCATTTCAAACAGAAATATTGAGAAAAACAAGGTATTAAAAGCATCTAGAATATCAGATTCATTTTAGCTTATAGGGTATCTGTCCAAACAGAGTTATAGTGAATTGGCTAAAATTGAAATGAGAATGAACCCTTGAAATTTAGAACTCTTGCAGATGTTATAAAATAGTAAGTAAATTTTATGTGTTTTTACTCTTTAGTTCAAGTCCTCTTAATATTCTATGTCTTTTGTATCGAATTTTTGAGATTCATTAAATTGTGAAAAAGTTGCAATACTATTTTCCTACTTCGTTTCATGCTTTTTTTCTAGAGAATCTTGAAAAGATTATCGAGTGTTAGCTATAGCAGCAGCTTGCCCTTAATCAAAGCTTCTCTATTTATTAACATTGTCATTGTTTTCATCAAATTTACTCTCTTCATCTTCGCCTAGTGATAAAGATTTACTATTTGTAAAAGACTTGACTTTTTTAAGCTAATTAAGTGCATCTTTATTTTCTTTCATTTTCTGAGCTATGTTAATTTTGTATTTATTTTAATCTCCATCGTCGAATTCTGAGACAGAACTTTCAAACGACTCATCAAACTCTTCATCAGGAAAGAACTATTCAGTATAAACACTGTCAAATTCAAGATTATTATTCTCATCATGGTTTTCAATTCCCATAGCATCAAGAACTACCTTTTTAGTAGGCTTTTGCTGAAATACTTTGGTCCCTTGTTTAGAATATCCACCTTTAGTCCTCATTTATTGTAAAACAGTTTTTTTGCTCTATATATCTAGCTTCTTCAACTCTGCACTAAGCTCCTGCATTTTTTATTGCTTATCAATTTTGGCGAAGGAATCCATAATTACTGCCAGAATAAGATTTAGAAGAAAGAAGCCACCAAATACTACAAGGATTATGAAGTAAATAGGACTCAAATAATTGGCATGCCCATCTTAAAACTATAGAAATCGCATTAAATTAATCAAGAATTCTTACTAAATACATAACTTTTACCCAACCTTCCAGTGTTATTACTTGAAATATTGTTAGCATAGCCTATAAGATATTGTCAAAAGATTCATAACCATAAAAGGTCACCTCATCATTTTAGATATCTGCTTTTGACTAATCAGAAAAATAGTCCTAAGGATTTCCGCAGTAAGTTCCCTCGTTACACGAGTAAATTGTATTTCCATCGGAATTGCATACTCTATCCTAACTTTAATCAATAGGCCATGAACCGTCAGATAGAGGTTCTCTTGAAAATCTGCATCTATAGTATTGATCACCTTTGAATAGTGAAACTCCTAGAATAGCGAACACCAAGAAAAAGAAGAAGAGGAAAAGGAGGACATTTGCCAGCATGGGTAAAGAGGATAGCAGGGATTTTATCAATCTTCTCATGCTTGGCACAGCTTTGATGCTCCTTAAAGGCCTAATGACTCTTAAAGTTCTTAAATACTTCAACTTAGGAATGTCTGGCAATTATTCAATCCAACTAAAACTTAATAAAGAATTTTGTATAATTACCCAGCAATCACAGAGAAAAAATCAAGCCAGTTCCATGGATCTCGAAGATACGAGTTTTTATTTATTACTAATCCCATTCCTAGAATCCTTAATACTGCTTCAAAAGTAAACAATATAGTAAAGGCTAGCTAGATTTTATTTAGAGTTTGATTCCAAAGTGAAAGCGAGAGTCTATCTTAATAATCAAACAGTGCCATCACAATAGAGTTGATCATAATTGACAGGATGATGACCCACTCAAATACTCTACAAATTAGGTTATCACTATTTGATCTTAATTGCAAACTTACTTCCATTCAATAAACCACACAATGGATTTTCTATACCAGGCTTTATAATTTAGGATAAATAGAGAATTAGGATCGTACTAAAATGGATTAAACTCATTTCAATTTACTCTAAAATGCTTATCGTGAACTCGGAATAATCCTTTATCAAAATGTTTCATTTCCTCTTGCCATCATTCGTATTTAGATTATTGAACTATCCTTTATACATAATTTTCTCGTTTAATTCCTTAGAAAGAATTGGAGTTTGCTCTTTTTAATTCCGTACCAGAATTCAGTCTTTTAAATCCTTGTTCTCCATTCTTTGGAGCTGAACTTCCTTCACTGAGCTTTGAGTTACTTAATCCTTTCTTACCTTTACCTCTTCAACTTTACTTCGAACCTTTTGATTATTTAGAATTTATACTTGATCCTTCTGAAACCCCTTCTATTTCTCTTGAAATGGCTAGTGAAGACGAATTTTTGCTTCCTTCAAGTCTCCCTTCAGTTATATGAGTTAGCTTTTTCTTATCTCTTAATAGGTTTGAGACCCTGAGGTTGTTTGACTTGTTATATGTGCTTTCCTGCTCTACGTGCAATTAATGAGTCTCTTAATTTTAGACATTCATCATTTCAATTAAGTGAATATTTTCTAATCTTATTTTAATATTTAAATTTAAGCAATCACACTCTTACAAAACACTTAATTCAATAGCTTACTATCAGCATTTAATCATTAATAACAAGCTTTAAATATAGAACAACTATCTAATAAGGTAATATTCTAATACATAACCTTATTAAATGTATAATCCTAATCAATTTATAGGTATAATTACATGCAAAGAGCCAAAAAATCATTAATTCTAAAAGAGGTTACTAACGATGAAGAAAGAGTGACAATACATTTATAAAATGACAATGATATCAGTGCAGATGATTATTTCTAAACTTAGAATCGATTGATAAATATCATGAAGACTAAAATATACTCAGAAACTAGTTAAAAAATTGAATAAGATGGGATTGAAAACTAAAAAGCAATTTAAAATTAGTAAAGAGAGCTTAAATTGAATGTATGTTTTTAGTCTAGAATGTGTTAGGCCACTAAATATTTAGTCTTGCATGATATTTAATGCTTATTTATAGTAAAATCTAATTAGAGTAATGATCTGGATAGAAAATTTAGCTAAGGCAATTAACAGAAGAATTAATACTGGGGATTGGCAGAGGTTTATAATTGGTCCAAATCTAAATCAACTCTTAATGGTCATTATTTTTCTCACCAGGACAGCTGAACAATATTCATACAGCATTTTAAAGGTAAAATTTTTTCCTATTAATAAATCAAAGGAGACAGAGATCATATTTAAGCTTATAAGATTGACAAAGATTTTAATGAAAAAATAAGAGCAGAACGCTACAAACGAAGAGCATCGATTAAAACTTAGAATTGTCATTAGAATGTTTCTGAGTTTGACTAAAATACTCTAGAAGCAATTATTAAAAGTCTTTCCTTTCCTAAATCAGCCTGATAATAAAGATAGGATATAAACTGAAGGTGAATTCAAATAAAAAATTATACTGTAAATTGAGAAGAAAATTGCAAAGAAATTTCGCAACTTTAATGATTTAGTTTTGAAAAATAAAGCTTCTACCTTAATAATGATTCTAGCGAGAGATGTGAATCACTAAGCAATAAAGATTGGAATAATAAATCTTCTATTGATGAGTGAGTGTTCTTAAAGTAGAATCAAGACTTTTGAACTTAGATCGATGAGGCGACTGTTTTGCTAATTAAATCTACTAGATATAAAAATTGACAAATAATGCTTAATTTAATCGAATAACCAATTTATCTGACGATTTATTTAGTCTTTTACTTTAAGATTCGATTTACATATTCTCGGGGTTTTGGGGTTTTGGGGTTTTGGGG